CATGGATGTGGTGTGTCGTCGCTCGGGTTTCATATCATGCCTTTCACGAGCTTCTTGATATCCAATTGATAGAAATGAGCATATTTGGAGCCGCGTCTAGTGCCTACATCCACACACAGTCCGCGTTTGATTTTACCTCAGTGAGTGCCCTTTTACCAATAAATAAGTGTTACTAAAGGTGCGTGTACCCGTCTAAGCTCGCATCCCAACATAGATATCCGCGTCTTCGCAGGGTGGACTGTTACGCTCCGCTGATGATGTGTACCCGGCTTACCGTGAGTTCGACATCCCGCCTCACCGAATGTGAAAGTGGCGATTTATTCGCTGTACACAAGGTGCCCTTACATAAATTACACAGACCCGGACGGCGGCACAGGCGCGATCCCTCCCGTCGATTATCCGTCCCCTCTCGCTAATTTTGCATCTTATCGTGACCTAGCTGTATATACCCAATATATGCCCCCCGGTGGGCCAGGAGGAAGTGACGTGATACGGTGGTTGCCGATGGAGTGTACTTTCAATCGCTACACGTTGGAGAAAAGTTTGGCGTAATAGGTTTGATCCAAGGGTTGCACCTTACCCTATCAGCTCTCCGATGCGAGGAGGGTGGCAGCATCTTCCCCGATGCTGAGACGGCTGTAGAATCGAGATACTGGAAGGCTCTCGTCGGTGTTGCGAAGAGGGATCATCGAACCTAATATCGTGCGCCTATTCAACTTTTTGCACTATCTATTTCGATTATCAATGTCCTCCAGCATAAAACGACCTTCCTCTCTAACTTTCCAAACCTGACAAAAGAATCCATCCGAGTCAGCTCTGTTACAGGTATAGTCAGGCACGGCGTGCAGTGCAGATGTCCAGTGGTCGTCTCTCGAGTGACACGGATCTACTTGCATATACTACGTATTTTATACGTATGCAGTAGCGCGATTCTTAGAACGCGGCCTGACAATTCTTGTTTTCGCGGTTTCTCATTGCGGCGCACTACGGCCGAGGAAGTAGGTCAACTAGATAGGTACCATCTGCCACGGTCAGGGAGTTGACGCCTACAGTATGAACCTCCAAGGATCCCTTTCAGGGAAGCATCCCTGGGAACGCAGCGTTCTTAATGTAGAATAGACCACCTTCTCAGCGCTCGCGTCCAGCCTAGAGCCTCTCACACCGGTGGAAGTTCCCTCCACTGGCGACTCGTCGATCACTAGAAAAGGTAAGGTAAGGTAAGATGGTCTAATACAAATCAGTCCTGCCTGACCTTTGACGTTGGTAGTCCTGTTGTGCTTTGCTTCTTCGTCGCTTGAGCGATTCAGCCAGCGAAATGGGCGTCATCTACTAGTGATACATGGCAGGAATTAATTTACACCACATCCATCTGAACCTTTCGAACAGGTACTCTGGATCTGACAGGCCGTTTCAAGGCGGGAGGTCGCCGTACCAGAGAAGCATCCAGGCCTCGCTGGAGTGCGCCTCAATAGTATAAGAACACGCTCGTTTCCTTCTGGATTATGGTACTCTCCAGCCCATTTGCCACCCATAAGATGGCCTTCTCACACCTCTTCGTCAGCACCCTTGTTGTCATTTTCACTGCGTCCGCCCGTGTTCAGGCATGCAGCCCCGATTTCCAAGGTCGCGATATCACCATCTCCAATGGATACGGAGGAGAGTGGACGCTCTCTGGAAGCGCTTCTGGGTCGGCGATCTCCACCCAGAATCCTCAGAACGTTGATAACTCTTCTGGAGAGTTCCGTGTTGAGCAGGATGGCTCGTGGCCTGCTGCGTACATCATCAAGTAAGCCCCGCTGCGAAGTATATGCGCCCTGTTTTTCATGAATTCGAACGCTCCCTCCCCTCAGGCCGCTAAACGTTCCCGGTGACATCGTCGCTGTTTCCACCGCCAGCGGCCAAGCACATCTGGAGACGCTGATCACGAACGATAGGTACGCATCCTGTGCAGCCCATCTGCCACGTCGATTGGAAATCAACACGCAAGTCCTGTTCCAGCTCCCAGAAGTACATCATTGAGTGCTACTCTTGCAGCGCCAACGGAGCGAACGCTGAGGGCTGCAGGATCATCTCCAAGGCCACTAATAACTGTCTCAGCTCGCTCGGTCCTGGAGAGAATATCGGCACGTTTGTCTGCCACCCGCGATCGTCGGGCCAATTCTGGAGGTTCATCGCGGCGCCCATCTGATTCTTGTTCGTGTGTGACTGGACTGGAGAGGACTGGATGGGCAAGTGGCTAGTAATTTTGCAGTTCGCGAACGATAATTGGGAGATAATGATACATGCACCCTATGAAATACACTGTGCGAGCGGCGGGGGGAAAGCATGTGCACCCCGTCAAGCCTGGGGTCAAGACTTCACAGGCTTCGCCTTCAATAACGGACCGCTGACCTCGTCCCTATCCCCCGTCGATATAGACTCCCCTCGCTCATCCTCAGTATCCTGACTCTTGAAGAAGTTCACAGTGGAGTCGACGAGGTCGCTCATAGATTGCCCCGTGGAACAATGGCCTGAAAAGACGGCGTACTTGAAGAATTGCTCAAGACTCAAGATAAGTAGCTACCTTGACGTTCGCCTCAGCCTCGGTAGCGTGACGTTCATTCCAGCCAGGCGCGTTGTTGATCATCGAGATCGATGAACCTCGCGTTAGGTTCCGCTGTTTCTCGGTCTCCAGAACCTGGAGTTAAGCGTCAGTGGGTGGCTAATAGCGATGGCGGAGAGTTTGATACGCACAAATGGAACCCCGTCGTGCATGGTGCTCGTCGAAGCCCTGAAATACATTGTACGAGTCAGCAAGGCTCGCATAGGCTCGTTGAAGCACAGCACTTACCCTCGTGGTGACGTCCTGACGCGAGCTGGTACGAAGCTTGATGTGGCTACGAGTTGCGAGCAGTATTTAGTCGCGAAGGAAGTCCTGAGAGCGATGGGTAAGGTCATGAGGGACGATGTGAAGGGTGGAGATTGGAAGGGAGCGGGAAAGTTGTACTGAACTCGTCACGACGGAGACAAGCCGTGTCATCTCATGTGTCTCAGAAAGTCCCACCCTCGATTCTCTTATCCGCGGACCACGATGTGCGGGCACACCATGTAACCTCCTTGGCGAGAGCGATACTCGCCTTTGGGCAAACTAGATGTTTGAAAAAGCACATCATGGGTTGAAATAGAAGGTGTCGAGGTCTCGATATGCGAAGAACCGTATGTCGGGCACAGTAGAGAACTCTGGTTAAACAGAGTCGCCGGACGACCTACTCACATCATGCTCGACGTGAGAGTTTGAAGTTCAGTCCAGAGTTCGCTTGGTCTTCCTAGCACCTGAATACGCAAACAGAGTTCGGACGTTCGAAGGCGGCCGAACTCTAGGCGACGTCTGAGCACAAGTGGTGGTATAAGTCGATGTATTTGAGCCACCGAGACATATGATGGTATAGTGCGAGCAGAGTACAATCGGATATGGCTCTAGCCAGTGCAGTCACCGACCGAGTGTCTGCTCAAGAATCAACGTTAATGACGGGCGGAGGGAGGAGGAACAAAAGGTCGTACAAGATGATGGAGAAAGCCGAGATGTGGCCAGGATGGGTGCATGTACGAGCAGCTCGAAAGACAAGTCGAGAAGATATGATAGAAGAGGAAGAGGAAGCAATCTTCACATGTCCTCGGCGCCCCATTGGTAGCTCTCGAGGTCGAGCCGCTTTTTGCTGTTCAGGCTCTGGAAGTACTTCGTTTCGAAGCCGTTGCCTCGATCTGCGGTGCTGCTTAGTGACCTATGACACGTATGAATAGCAAGCGTAACGTACCGACACCGTCCCATCTGTACCCAGGCTTCAAGTTGAAGCGATTCGGAGGAGGGGGCGGGCCATTGTACTCAGGTCGTCGAGGACCTTTCGACCGCTTTTTCTGCAGAGCAGTCAGTTCAATTATAGGGTAGCAGACACAGTGAAGCACATACACTCATGAACATCGCCGCTGGGTCGTTCCACAAGTCCTTACTCTTGAGGTCCTCATTGAGCTCCTTGTCGTCCACCGTCCTCGAGAAGCCCTTGTGGCGATTCCTCTCCGCGTCTTTTTTCATCTTTTCCTTCTCCTCCCTCTGCGCAATTCCCTTCCCCCACTCCATACGTTCAGCGTCCTTCTCCTCCCTCTGCCGCTTCTTCCTCGCCGCTTCCGCCCTCTCCGCCTTCTCGTCAATCTTCCGCCCGCTCGAATCACGATGTATCGTCTCCTGTGCCGCCTCGATCTGCTCCTTCGTCATCTTCGCCTCGACCGTCTTCGGTCTCAGCGCCTTCGTCAGGTCTTTCGCACTGACGAGACCGCCCACGAAGGACTTAGCCGGCTCCGCGTCCACAACCGTCGGCTTCTCATCCTCTGCCTCTATCTCCTCCTTCTCTCGATCTCGCGAAGCCTGGTTACGGTCTAGCTCAGCCATGGCGTTGTCGCCTTCCCGCAGCGTCGTCCAGCCAGTCGAAGAGTCAGCTGCCTTGCGTTTCTTGAAGCCTCGGTCGCTTGCAACCACAGCTTGGGCAGCTTCCTCGTCGTCGTCATCGGCTTTAGACTCGTCTCCCCAGCCACCGTCATCATCTTTGACGAATGAAGAAGACGAGCCAGATGCGCCGGCAGATTGGAGGTGCGAGGTGGAAGATGTGCCGGCCTTGCGCTTGCGCTTCTTTGGGGCGGCGCGTTCTAGAATGGCGTCTGCCTTTGGACCAGACATATATTTTTCGGCGAGGTAAGCTTTCATGGACGACATGATGAAACCAAGGAATGGTGTGAATGCGACAGAGCGACGTCGAAGGCGGAGGCAAGGAAGGTTGACCCGCGGCTGTGCGCCACCAGTGACTGAGTACAACCGCGGCCGAACAGCTCGACTTACGCATCTGCTGAGCGTTTATCGTCTCTAATTCCCTGGTCGGAATTCGATCAGGACCCAATGTTGAAAGCCAAGATTGAGCAAAAAAGGCTCGAAAACAGGTGTCAGGAGCACCAACTTTGATGATGGAAAAGCAAGTTCCCTCCGCGATTTGAACGCGGGACCTTGCGATGTTGTTGCACTATTGCAATCGCACGCTCTAACCACTGAGCTAAGGGAACTGTTATCAGAGCTCCTTGTCAAAAAAAATATAGATAGTATCAAGCCCGATGCGTCATTGTACTCGAGGGCAAGCATGCCTTCCCAGACTGCATTGAAACTCAAGTCGCGATAGGCCACAAATCATCTCAAACTTGTCAACTTCATCTACAGATTACAGACGTTGTGCGCAAATTTGAGAGAAGGCTGGAGGAAGTCCTCAAGGCTTCATGCCAACCCATTCGCACGTTCTCACCAACGCCCCTTCCCTCAGAACTTTCTCGAACCGAGCCAACATTGCCCCTCTCTCAGCCTCTGAGTGGATCGACACCCCGACGGGGCATTCCAACGAGCCTCGCTCCATCATAGCTTTTGAGTAGCAGTCCAGCACCAACATCGCATCCTCCACCCCCTTTTCGCTTTGATGACACAGATTTGCTCCTCGCAGGCTTCGTGTGGAACTGCACAGGTTGCCCATTGGGAGATCGACTACCAGAGAGGAGACGATGTCGAGCCCTATCGACGTTAGTAGCGGGCCAAGTTGATAGCTGAGTCTGGAGAGTGGCAGTAGGTCGCGATCAACCTCGCGTTGTTGCTGGGTGACAAAAACGACGCACCCTCCAAGGAACCCACGTTGGGTCGAAATACCAGTGTAGATGGAGTTGATCATATGAGCCGTCGAGTTCCCTACCATCATCCTCTTGAAATCGTGTGGATGACCTACCGGCGGGTATGGAAGTGTAGGAAATGCGAAGCTATTGTCGAACTCCATGAGAAACATGTAGCCTCCGGGACCTGTGGCGAGCGATGATATGAGTCAGCGCTGGAAATACACGAATCCAAAACAAGGAGCGTCTTCACATACGCAGAAGCTTGGACAGATTGTTCAGGACAACCTTCCATCCTTCCTGTGTCAAGCAATACGCCAAGATTGACGCGTGCACAAGATCAAAGGTGCTGTGCATCTCCGCCGGGAACGGCTTCGTCATGTCTTGGTGAAACAACTTAACACCCAACGAATCAAGTTCCCTCTTCGTCAACTGCACACTGTTGAAACTGAGGTCGCACGCGTATATCTCCGCGGGGGTAAAGCGCTGTCGAATACACGGCAGACGGGCGAGATCCCGCACCCATTCCCCAGTACCGCACGCGACGTCGATGATCCTGTTGACTTTCGCGAGCTCGATGGACTCAGGCAGGAAATTAGGGTGGTCGTACACGTCCTTGATCCAACCATACTGAATCGAGAGTCTGGTGTAGTATGAGTCAAAATTATGGGTACCATCGGTGAAAAATCACACACCTATGCGCCTCGACGCCAAGTTTCATCCCTGTGAGCGCGTAGTCGGATCTGTATGTCTTCTGGTACGGAGAGGGAGCGGCCATCGTGGGTCTGGAACTATAGGGGGAGTGTAATACGCGGGTTGCGGGCACCGGTGGGAATATTGCCCAGCTCATACTGCGGTATTTATGAGATTTCCGGACCACGCCATCGAATACGTGCAAGATGCCGCGTGTAGTTCGGCCAATCATGGTCGGAAATGTAATCAATAAAGATTACCCAGGTCGAAGAATGGCGAGATTCTGGGGGATTTAGACTGTTACAAGCTAGACGTCTTCGTCGTATGTTCTGACGGAGATCGCTTTGTAGCTGTAGATATCGATGATCCTCGGATACCCGGAATGAGTCGGGGGTTCTAAACGTGCGGGGGCTCCAGTAGTTTTATGCCTGAATTGACGAATAGTCCGAGGATCACATCTGGACGAGATGAGCACTGTGAGAGAACCGCGGAACGCCGATATAGATTCCAACATCAGCTTCCAATCTGCAGAGCAACCCTAGGAACGACGTTGATAGTAAGATCCTCGGAAATATCGTCTTCTAGCTCAGCGCTCAGCGCTCAGCACTGTGGAGCGATGCTGGCTAACGTCGCAATTGAGGGTTGTTACGATGAACCGGCCGCTATTGAAGAAGAAGGAGTTGCGGCAAGAGCGCAGACTGCAGCAATGTTGATCTGACGGTGGTCGAGCGTTACTCCAAGTACAAGTCGTAGTGAACATCCGAGGAGAGAGGTTCAAAGGCAGATGATCACCAATAGTAGTGATGACATCGGTGACTATCCTACATGCTATGCTGGGGCCCAGCTGCACGATCACATTGAACAGTGGCCTCAAGAAGATCCTCGGTAATGCGTGTGGACGGTCAAGTTCGTCAAGTAATTAAGCGATCCGTACCGCAGCGAACGCGAATCATGGAAGTCTAGGTACGAACAAATATTGTAGATGCTTTTTACAGTGACTTTTATTCGGTCATTCCTCGCCCAGTGTACCCAAAGTTGCAACATCACCAACTTACGATCTTCACAAAGTACTACAACTACCCGTTCCATTCCCCTTTAACGTACACCCCAAAGTCAAGCCGCGATGATCGTCCAGTACTGAGCCGGCGCCCTTGGGTTGCAGCCGAAGGGGGCGACGATCTGTGTAGGGCCAACCGCGCTCAGGCAGCTGCTACTGGCCTGAGAGATGATTCTGCAACCATCAGCATCTCCGTTGGTCCCGCAGACGTAACAGTCGATGGTGTATTTCTGGTGGCTGAACAAACGATGTTGTCAGACTTGAAATTTGGTTTACAAGTCAGCAATTGAGCAGAGCGTACCTATCACTCGCGGCCGTGGTTGCCAACTGAGCCTGGTTGTTGGCAGTGGACACAGCGACGCCGGCAACGTTCACAGGCCTGCCAGACGAACAGATAATCGGCCACGATGAGCAAAACGGACCACGTTGTAGCAGACTTCGAACTCGGCTCACTTGATGGTGTACACCGAAGTCGACGAACCATCCAGCGCGACTGTCCACTCTCCAACAGTGTTATCGACGTTCAGGTGTTTTTGGGTGAGGACCGAGGAACCGGAAGTGGTGCCGGCGAGCATCCATTCTCCCCCGGAACCGTTCGAGATGGTGACGGCGCGTCCTTGGAAGGCGGGGTTGCATGCCTGAACATGGAGCAAAGCTGCTGACGCAGTGAGGATGAAGGTAAGGGTGTTGATGAAGCGGGTGGAGAAGACCATGTTGATCGCTGAGGGGATTGGACTATTCGACGAGGGGATCGAGAGTATGAAGATTCAGACGCGTCGTCGAGCCTCTTTATACCGCGGAGGTGTATGCAGTGAACTCTGGTTGGGGTACCCCAGGAGTATCCCGTACCTCACGGTGACTCTCGCTTGAGACGATCTGTCAAAGTACCTGTCAATGAAGGGCTGCGAATGTATACGCGCATGCTGCCTTTTTGTTATGGCACACTGTACATACGAAAGTGCTCCCGATGTCCAGGACAGGGCGTATCTCTGCAGGTTAGAGAATCTCGAGCTCTCTCTCAGCTTCAGCTTCAGCGAGTCAGGATTCGAGCACTGACACTAGAACTACGACTCGTAAGCGGATCGAGTAGTACAGACAAACAGGCGCTCGATCTCAAGGCTGGTCTCCAGGGGCTTGAGAAGGTCATTCACCCATTCTAGATTTTCGGTGGGGTTATGTTTTCAGGGCTGCTGTATTGAACTGTGAATGCCGTTCTAGAAAGCGCAGGAAAGCGTTCAGCTCGTGAATATCCATGGCAGATGGTACCTGTCCCCAAGTTACTGTCCCCAAGTTACCTCGTCAAGTCCTACCTGTATATGTCGACGCCGCAGAGAAGCCAGGTGAACGTCGCGTATGCACGCGCATCTGCCAAAGCTGGTAAACGGCAGGTGCTCGCGTAGAGGCTAGGATCTAGAACGAGAGACACGAGTTCGACGGCCGGTGGTTCAAGGGTCCTTTCGAATTCTTTGCGTGAAGCGCCAGTCAGCCAAGTTCGGGATTTCAGGAATACTGCACATACAGTGGACAGCGTGCTGAGTACACAAGGTAGCACAGAGCTTGACAGCCTTCAGTGTCGAGAATCGACAGGGTCGTGTACTACTGATTTGATTGCAGGGAATTTGGAGATGCTTGGGTTTGGGATCGCGCGTCCAAGGGTCCGACATAACACAGCGAGTAGAATGTCCATAACGACGACTATAATTGCGAAACGATAGTCTAGCAAAGAATGTACGATAAACGAGCGTCAACCCTCCCTAGCTAGTTATGCAAATAGTCCGATAGAAGTAGTATGTAGAGGCAGTCTCAAAGCTCAGCATCAGGCGACCCAAAACTAACCGCCCTCTTCCTAAGCGGCGTACTCGTAACCGTGGGTTGGGTAACACAATTCGACGACGCCGGCGCGGGGTGGGCAGCAGGGGTGGGCTTGATACCCTGGGACCAAGTCGACGTGCCGTAGATACCCATAGGCTGGCCGACGGCGCCCTTGCAGGACTCAAAGACGTTGGCGGAGTAGGAGGCGGGGATGTTCCACCAGCATCTAGTAGACCATTAATTAGTTGACTGAGATGAGAGAGAGAGTGGGGGGAGAGGTAGAGGGGAGGATGGCGGATGAGGCTTACCCCATGACGTCGTAAATGTGCTCGCAGTACTTGGTCGCGTCGGGGCCGAAGCAAGCACGGATACAGAACTGGTTGTGGGACATGAAGTTGGTCCATTCGTGGTACTGCATGTTCGGGCGGAAGGTGTTGCCGTAGAGAAGACCACCGACTATACGTAGATCGTCAGACAAAATCGGACCAATGAAAGTGAGTAAGAAGACGCACTGGGGTTCCCATTCGCATCCGCCCCATGAGGATCGAACTCTCCTCCACTATACGCACACCCGCATCAGCCTCCTTCTCTCCATATAACCACGAAGGGTAGGAACAAGAAAGAACTCACTCATCCCCAGCCCGGATATTCGTCTTCGTAAAGTCGCCAACACCGGTAACCTGGACGTACTTGTCCGTCTCCACCCAGTGCACGCCCTGGAGGGTTCCGTCAGGGATGGTGCGGGTTCCACGGCCGGCTTTGGTGCACCAGGCGATACCTTCGCGCTCGGTGTCGCCGATGACGCTGTTGGGGGCGTGGGGACTCCAGATACAGAAGCTAGAAAGATAGGCTT